AGACTTATTGAAGTACTAGATGCTTAGCTGCTAAAAGGTTCTGCTTCTATTATCCCACAAAATCATAAACTTGAGGCAACATTATCGAATCACCTAATCCAATGGTTCTTAAAGTGAGAGATGGAGGATAGACAGCATTGCTATATTACCTAAGGGATCTTTTCAACAAATACACAACACTACATTTCCCATCCCACAGACTCTATAACCCCCATTCTCATACATCTTCTTGAGGATATATATTCTAATACTCTTCACAGGGATGTATCAGGTTGAATCGAACATACTTCCATGAAGGCAGGGCTATATTTACTAAAAGTCCACTAGGTGATTCTGACATGGCAGCCCCTGTCTTCCAGTTGAAAACCTAATGACCTAATCTATTTCCTCCTATCGGGCAAAATTACAATTCAAACAACCCAGAAAGATTTCTGAAAGTATTCAGAAAAGTCTACAATTTATTCTTTAGTGGACCTATTTCATTGTGTCACATATGAGCCAAAGTGTGAAATGCATTATTTTCAATTTAGAATAAAAATCTTATTGCTTTTTCCAATATTTAGGGACATATTTAGTACAGAAATTTGGAGAAATGTAAACTTTCTGTAAAGACATATATATCTGTATCTGTGTATGTATGTTGTATGTATGTATATATGCATGTATATAAAATATTTATTTTTATAATTGCTAGTATAATAAGGTGTTAATATATGAAGACCTCACTAGTAGGTGCTGTCTGGTAGGCAATAAAAATCTTTAGTCTTAGTTTTTCTACATTTATAGACATAGGAATGACTTCCTTGACCTGACTCCCATGCTACCTAACAGGTTCATTTAATATTTATTAAGAGGATCAAAATGTACAGAATCATATTTTCTTTCCTGCCGTTATTCCTGGCTTCTTACTCTTATTACTTTCCAGTGCTCCTTGCCACTCCCTCCCCCAACACCCCAAAAAAGCTTGGAACTCAATTAGCCTGCAAGCAATGAAATAATGGTTGATAGTGACAAAACTTCTGCACTAGATGGATATACAAAATGGATACACAACTGAAACAGAGGTGACCAAAAAAAACCAGGATTCACAACTTAGCAAAGAGGAATTCAAAGAACTGCATGTATAAAATAACAGAAAGTGGTTTATAGACACCATATCTCAAAAGGAGAAAGGTCTCTAGAATTAAATACCAAGAAAACGGATTTTGTTACATTATTGCTAAATGCCAAAAACTTAGCAATGATCATTTAAAAATACTCTACCGTGTGAGGTTTAAGGAACAATGATTCCTAATTAGTGTTTTAATAAGTGTGTTAGCACTGCCTTGTGCCATTCTGGAATGTCACTTATGGCAAATTAAGGGACACTTTCCCTCCCCATCTTCCATTAGTATTTTAATGCTAGGAGGTGGGAAAAAGCTGATCCATATTCAAGAGCAAAGGAGGAAAAACAATAACAAATTGGCATCTCTTCTGTGAATTGCCCCACAGGCCAAGCATTTTTATGTTCTTAATCATTATTAAATGACTTAACATGACACCCAGAGCCTGGCGAATGATTGCATCCTGACATGAGAACGAATTACAAATGAAATGAAAGATCAAGCCGTATTAGAGGATTGCCTCTGGGAAATGAAAATCTTTAATTCTCTTTTATTATTGACATTTATTTGGCTGCCATGAATAACAACATAGCAAAGAGATTCGGCTACGCTTGTGCACTGAATAGCTTATCCCAGGGCTCAAAACTACATTAACATTTATCATGTTTGCTTTTGTAGCTGACACCACTGAACAGATTCTCTATCCATCTTGTATTTATCATGCATTGCAGATATAGTGCATCCTCTAATTTAAGTTCATTTTCATATAGTAGGAAGAGCAAAGATTAGCCAATGTCTTTCCTCAAATAAATTCCTGCTAGTAAGTATTCCTAGGAATGGCTTAATAGATTTAATAAAGAACAAAAGGAGTTGACAAAGAAATTGAGTCACAGGAAGGGGGGGCTAATTTTAAAGGTTTCAACTTTGGGGAAATTGTGCAAATTTACAATGAGGAAGACACTTGTATGATATGTATATCAGGAATATATAAAGCCTTAAAATAAATGTCTCCATAAAGAGCAACCAAATAGCATTTTATGAATCTGAAGGCAGTACTACAGTTCCTGTAAGATATCTGCATGTTTTTCACTTTTCCAAATAGTGTTCATTGCTAAGACAGAACAGGCCACATACTATACGAAGACAGCAATCCAGATAGTTATTATCAATGCAGGGATATCTTTTCATGACATTTCCCTTCTCTCTTGCACAAATTAACAGCGTTGCTTTTTCTGTCATATCAAAGATTATATGGTACCTGATGCCTTTGCGCATATGATCCTCTTCACTAATATGACTGGATTGCCCTCCTTTAAATTCTTCCTAGAATTCAAGGCTCAGCAAGGATATCAATGTATCTTGAAAATCACTTAGTATCTCTGATTCTTTTTTTTTTTTAAAGGCTTATTTATTTTAGAGAGAGAGAGGGAGTGTGAGCATGAGCGTGGAGAGGGGCAGAGGGAGAGGAAGAGAATCTCAAGCAGACAGCCAGATGTGGGGCTTGATCCCATGACCCCAAGATCATGACCTACGCAGAAACCAAGAGCTGAACTCTCAAATGACTGAGCCACCCAGGCGCCCCTGTATCTCTGATTCTTGACTGAAAATTATTTTTTAGTTTTCTATTTTATAATTTTTTTTAAAAGATTTTATTTATTTATTTGAGAGAGAGAGAATGAGAGACAGAGAGCACGAGAGGGAAGAGGGTCAGAGGGAGAAGCAGATTCCCTGCTGAGCAGGGAGCCCGATGTGGGACTCGATCCCGGGACTCCAGGATCATGACCTGAGCCGAAGGCAGTCGCTTAACCAACTGAGCCACCCAGGCGCCCCATCTATTTTATAATTTTAATCATGGAAAATTTTAAACATATACACAAATGGAGGTAATAACATAATGACCACCCCTCTATACCCATCACCCAGCTTCTACAATTATTAACTCATGATGAATCTCATTTTATCTATAACCCCACTTCACTATTTGTCACTCACTGAATTATTATGAAATAAATATTTTTGGAAGTAAGTCTTTGAATCTTGCTTTTGTCAATTCTAAAGTAAGAAAGTCAGAATGAATTAATTCTAAGGTTCCTTCTCCCCAAAATTTGACAATAATTTCTTCTTTGACCCTTTCCAGGCTTATAGATTTAATTCAACAAAAATTTACTTCATATTCACTATAACATCTTTCTTCAAGCTTAATCAATTGATCTCCCTCTCTGAGTCAATACAACTATATAGTCTGTACCAATAATCGAGAAGTATAATTATACTTCTTTGGATTTATATTTTTATGTGTATTAATTTTATTTCCAACTTAGATGCTTAAGGCTCATATCTTAAATTTCTGTTTAACAGTGTACTAAAAGAAACACAAAGGTAATTAATTGCTACTGTTTATAATAATTATTAATTAACTGATGGGTTTTAATTTTAATGGTTCAGACAGAATTAACAGGTTTGTATTTGGCTTTAATAGTAGGTAGCATCATACTGACAGTATTAATCATTTTAACCAATAAAATGCTTGTTTACTAGATGAAATTCCTATTCTATTTCTGTGTCATAAAATAGATGACTGAGTAAAAACAGGAGTGAGGTTTTCTTCTTGAAGTTTAAAGCTGAGGACGTAATTTCTCTCTGGATTTTATTTGTTTATAATTAGATAAATTCATTTAAGTTAAGCATAGGAATTTGCTAAGTAAAATTTTTTTCAGGAAAGACATTACTAGATTGACAGTATCTCCAAAATACCAGAGTAAATAAACAAAATCAAAGTGGATTTACTTAACTGAATTTTAATAAATTACCTTCTTGAAAATGAAGTCTTTTCTACTGAGACAGAAGGTAGGAATATTTACTAAAATAAAAACACTACGAAAGGTACATTTTCACAGAAATAGAACAAACAACCCTAAAATTTATATAGAACCACAAAAGACCCCTAATAGTCAAAGCAATCTTGAGAAAGAACGAGGCTGGAGGCATCACACTTCCTGATTTCAAACTATATTACAAAGATATAGTAATCAAATCAGTATGGTATTGGCATCAAAACAGACACCTGGAAAGGAGTGTCTTCAATGAATGGTGCTGGGAAAACTGCCACATGCAAAAGAATGAAACTGGATCGTTATTATGGATGTCCAACAAGTACATGAAAAGATGCTTAACAGTAGTAATCATCAGGGAAAAGCAAATCAAAACCACAGTGAGATAACACCTCACACCTGTTACAATGCCTATTATCAAAAAGATAAGAAATAAATGTAGGTGAGGTCATGGAGAAAAGGGAACACTTGTGCATTGTTGGTGGGACTCTAAATTGGTATAGTCTCTATGGAAAACAGTATGGAAGTTCCTCAAAAAATTAAAAAAAGAACTACCATATGATCCATAATTTCATTTCTGGGTATTTGTCTGAAAGAAACAAAAACACTAACTCTATACCCCCATGTTCACTGCAACATTATTTATAATAGCTAAGACAATAGCTAAGTGTCCACTGATGGATGAATGGACAAAGAAAATGTGGTGTGATAGAATATTATTCAGCCATACAAAGAGAGAAGAAAATCCTGCCATTTAAACAAAATGGATGAACCCTGAGTGCATTATGCCAAGTGAAATCATTCAGAGAGAGAAAGACAAATGCTGTATGATCTTGCTGGTATGTGGAATCTACAAAAAAAACAAAGCAAAACTGAACTTACAAATACAGAGAACAGACTGGTGGTTGCCAGATGCAGGGGTTGGGGTAGGGTAAGCAAAATGTACGAAGGTGGTAAAAAAGAATTATGTTGTTTTCAAATAAATTATAATATAAATAATATAGAATTCTGTTATAAATGATTAATCTTCATTATACTGGGCTTTGCATACAATTTCCACACATACCTGTAGCCATTATAGTATCTTCTCTCCCTTGGGTGAAAATCACGATTCGCTGCCTCTTCAGGTTCACCTTTGGTAGAGCTTGTGCCTTTCTGGCTATCTCTTTAATGTCTTCCGTCTATTAATAGAGAGGAGGAAAAAGTTCTCATAACCAGTACAATAAAGCAAACTTACTAGTAGATTAAGGATTTAGCTTGTCATGTTCAAAATAGGAGAGATACACACCCCTATTATAGGAGTTACTCTTTTAAAATTTCAATGATATACAAAAGTAAATAGTACAATAGCCTCCAAGGAACCCACCATCAAGTTGCAACAATTTTAAATTTATGATAAATTTTATTTCATCTATAGTCTCACTCACTTACCTTTCATATTATTTTGAAGCAAATCCCAGATACAATATAATATTATCTGTAAATGTTTTATTATGTATCCCTGAAAGGTAATGACTTAAACATAACCACATAACTACTATATTTTTAAAAATTAACAATAATTTCTCAATATTAACAAGTAGCCATTTTCAAATTTCCAATTAAGGAGAATTTCTAAAGAAAAATAGGACTATTTAATTATTTTAGAGGTTTGGAGAATTATGCTGACTCTGGAAATAATGTTGCTAAAATGCCAATTTTTTCAAAGAACTAAAATGAGAGAAGGAGATGCTGTTTCGTATAGACTTAATTTTATTTAAAAAAGATAAAATTACAAAAAACCACAAGGTAATTTTAGAAACTTGGATGCTATTTTTCATATCACATAGGTCACAAAGTTTTACATCATAAATGTTCTGACTTGAAATCTAACTCTTGAACTATTATCAGTAGGATTTTTAGAATCATGGTTTTTTTTTTTTAAGGATTTTATTTATTTATTTGACAGAGAGAGAGACACAGTGAGAGAGGGAACACAAGCAGGGGGAGCGGGAGAAGCAGGCTTCCCACAGAGCAGGTAGCCCGACGTGGGGCTCGATCCCAGGACCCCGGAACCATGACCTGAGCTGAAGGCAGACGCCTAGCAACTGAGCCACCCAGGCGCCCCTAGAATCATGTTTTTTTTTAAAGATTTATTTATTTGTTTGTTTGAGAGAGAAAGAGAGAACGCATGCATGAGCAGGGGAGTGGAGAGAGAGAATCCCAAACAGACTCTAAGCTGAGCATGAAGCCCGACATGGGGCTCAACCCGACGACCCATGAGATCACAACCTGAGCTGAAACCAGGAGTTGGATGCTCAACTGACTGAGCCACCCAGTTGCCCCTAGAATCATGTTTTCAACAATTTTAGGTAATCTAAAAATCCATGTTTGAATTCAGTGGGCCTCTAATCATCCATGGTTTGGGCTTTATTGGTACTCTATCACTGTGCAGTTTCAAACAGTTATGGAGAGAGACACAGACCAGAGGAGAAATATATCTGAGTGGCATCAAGAAAGTTTAATTAGAATATATAAGACAGAAAAATTTAGGTACTCAAGGTAGACAAGTCATAATGGTTACAATGAACATCAGAAACTATGACATTTTTAAAGGTATGAAAATTTTTAGTGAAATATTTGTATGTTGTTTGTCCACTACATACTTAAGAAATTCCAGATGATACATGAAGCTAAGCTTCTACTACACCTAACATAATGATTCCAGATGACTGTTGTTTCTGAAAAGAACAGCCATGTGTGGTAAGACAATGCTGCTGACCTTTCAAACACGCTGACTATTTCACTTTTGGTTGCCTATTTTAGAACAAAACTAAGCCTGAACTCTGACAATATAAGAAAAGAAATTCCCTCAGTTTTTGGGGAAGGACTATTAGAAATGACTAGTAACAGCTGAAAGGACAAAAAAATAAAATAAAAAAAGGCACATGACAATGTTTTCACTCTCTCAAATAAATGTATACATTTAATTAAAATGACTGACATATATTCTCCCAATCTCCTTACCACACTTAAGTTTTACAACTGTCAGAGTTTTGCTTATGATTGAGTACAATCATATTTAATAAAGATAAAGAGGTAAAGCCCAGAAACACATTCACTTTATCATCTTGGGAGCAGAATACCATGTACGTAATGTTTTTTAAATAGAGGTCTTTCTTCATTGTGGTATAAGAAATAAATTAAGAATGAGAATCTACGGTTGTCTTGTACCAAGCCAGTGGGAAGATATATGTACTTTTTTATGGGAGTTTTGGTAACCTAATCAAAAAAACCTTTCTTATGTCTCAAACGAAATCTTATAAAAATGGCAATTCAAGATTGAAATAAACTTCCCAAATATAAAACACAAATCTTTACAGGATGGTTAAACTTTATTCTAATTGTATCCATGTCCACAGTTCATATGAAACTCATCTGTCACTCTGGGATCACTGTCCGTGAACACCAAATCTAAATTTCTTAACTATGCCTTCGAGGAGCCATTGCTTTGGCCTCAATAGCTGATTCCCATCTAGTATGAAAACTTTTCTTAAAACCTCAATTTTGTCTTCTCAAAGCTAAATATTTCTAGTTCTGCAGCTACCTACACTTCCCTATAGATTCTTCTCCCTTATACTTGGGCTAATATCTTAGCAGAATTATGAAATTACAAGGGACTTGAGAGTGTGACACACCTAGATGTGTGCACCTTGAGCAGGTAAATAAAACTCTATGAGGCTCCATTTCCTCATCTACAAATCTAAGAAAATATTTATGTTAAAAGACACTGGAGGGGGTGTGCCTGAGGGGCACAGTGAGTTGAGCATCTGACTCTTGGTTTCAGCTCAGTTTGTGATCTCAGGGTCATGGGATCAAGCCCTGCCTCGGGCTCTGGGCTCAGAGTGGGGTCTGCTTAAAGATTGTTGCTCCCTCTCCCTTTGCCCCTTGCCCTGCACGGTCTCTCTCTCTGTGTCTCTCTCAAATAAAATCTTTAAAAAAAAATGATGTTGGGAAAGAAATATGCCCAAATAGTGGGCAGAAGTTTGAAGAGAATCAGGATATTTGCATAGTCTCAAAGTATCTCCCCTAAGATACTTCTCATTATAGATTAGTAGGTGAAATGAGATATTTGCATAGTCCCCAAATATCACCTCCAAGATATTTAATAAATACTGAGAAAATAGTAACTTTACAAAAAATAAACTGGCAAACATCACCTTAACCCAGTGATGAAAGTGAACATCATCAACATTAAGACAACGGGACATCATGTGCGTGCCCAATATGATACACTGAGAAGTGCAACTCACTTCTGTGATATTTCTGGCAAAATGCATAACCTCAACTTAATTAACAGAAAATATCAGAGAAACTCAAATTGAGGGGCATCTATAAAATAATTGGCAAGTACTCTTCAAAAGGATTAAGATCATGAACAAGGAAAGAATGAGAAACTGTCACAGATAGGAAGAGACAAAGGAGACATGACAAATAAATGCAATTTGTTTTCCTGGGTTAGATTCTCAAACAGAAAAAGGAAATTAAGGAGAAACTGGTGAAATCAGAATAAAGGCTGTAGTTCAGTTACTGGTAGCATACTAATGTTAACTTCCTTGTTTTGATCATTATACCTTCATTTGTGTAAGATGTTACATTAGGGAAAGCTTAGTGTACTATTTTTGCAAATTTTGTAAGTGTAAAAAAACTTGAAAATAATTGTTGTGAGGATGAACGAAGATGAGGTAAGTGGAAGACCTTAATGCAATATTTAGCACATGCTAAGTACTTAATAAATACTAATTTCTTTCCTCTAATGACCATCATTTTAATGCTCTCCAAAAGTGTCATATCCCAAAATCTCTAGAAAGGCCCTTAAGAGTTTTGAGTATTGGGAATTCAAGTATGGTATCTAATAAGGGAGGAGAGAAAGGAAAAAGGGGGTAGGAGTAGAAGAAAGCTCATACAATTTAGCTATGAGCCATGTATATAGCTCTGAAGTGCTCACTAAATCTTAACTTCTACAGGCAGTAGGTATTATTCCTATATCCTCATTTTGTAGGGGAATAAACTGAGTCACAGAGAGGTTAAGAAGCTTCCTAAGGTCACAAATATACTAAGTGGTGGAACCAGGGCTAGCATCCACGAAGTCTGACTCCAGAAATTACACTCTTAATCAATATTCCATGCTATCCACAGATTGTACTGCTTTTTGAATTCCGGCAGTGTGCTTCCTGTTGTTATCACAAAACTATAGCATGTTCAACTGAAATAATTTTTCTGCCACATGCACAAGTCATTACTGATCTTGAATTTAAGTTTGCTGTTTTTTTTCTCTTAATTATTCTGGCTTGTATTTTACCCTAGTGATTTTCAATTTTTGATTTCTAAGATATTTCTCATTTTCCAAGGTCATTTGGAAATCTAATCTCCTCCTCCAATATGTTAGGATGTGAGTAAGAAAGAAGTGTAGTATATAAAGAGTATGAGACTCTTTAAGCTCTGGTTCTGGCTCCATGTTATATTAGCTACGTGTGACCTTGAACAAGTCATGTAGCCTATTTTTTTTTATCTGCTGAACTGATATGGTAATACACGCCCTACCTACCCCCAAAAGTTTTGTGTGAATATTAAATGTATTAATCATATGTTGGAAAAGGTTTTATATAAACTGTGAGGCATTTTATAAATGTTAAATTATGCTTTTATTGTCACTGCTGATTACACACTTAAATTTAGCATTGTCTTCCAAATTAAAGAAAACACTCTCTTCTTTCCATTTTTAACAAGCTGATGATACAAATGTTAATACTGTCATAATCTACCTACTCCTATAGAATACCAATTGTGGTGTTCCCACACACTGCCTCACTTAACCATATCACATTCTTTTGTCTTCCAAACAGAACCTCCTATAATAATTATGGTGTTCACATGACGTGTCAGTCTCCAGTCTTATCTCCTACTACCTCCCCCTCGCTTACTTCATTCCAGTCACACTGGCCTTCTGTCAGTTCTTGGAGTACACAGTACCTTATGCTCTTTCCCTTTTGGGCCTATGTGCTCTTGTTCCCTCTGTTTGAAATTTGTTTCCCTGTTGTTTGTTTGTTTTGCTTTTTTCTGTCAATGCTAAATATCCGTATTTTTCAAGTTTTGCTTTCCTCAGAGAGTCATTCCATGACTATCGCATCTAAAAAATAGGAACCCCTCCCATGTTCTCTTTCACAGTATACTCTCTGGTCATTTCTGTCTTGTCTTCAGGGTCTATCAAAGTGTTAGGCACAGAGTTAGTGCTCAGTAAATATTTACTGAATGAATAAATGACGAAATGAAGAGCATTAAAAGACTACCTTTCTCTTTCTGTTAATTTACTCTTTTAAAACTGTCCTCTTTTGGGACTCAGTCACCTAGAAAAGCAGCATTGTACTCTCTTAGCCAGCAGGACCTAACATAGTGTCTTATTTCCAGAAACTCTGGATGATCGTTCATTGTATTCTTTGTATTTGTGAGGAACACAAGAACCTTAGAAAAATCTTAGGAGAATTCTTTGGGAATCAATACCTCCTGAATACTCTGTGGACTTTCTATCCAGTGTTGATCAATGGAATTTTCTGTGATGATGGATATGTTCTATATCTGCACTGTCTAATATGGTAGTCCCTAGCTACATAGGCTATAGAGTGCATTTGAAATATGCCTATTGAGATTTAGGAACTGAATTTTAAATTTTATTTAATTTTAATTAATTTGAATTTAAATAGCCATATGTGGCTAATGGATGCCATATTGGATAACACAATTCAATACTTTCCTGTCTCAGTGGTATAAGATGATAGAGTCATCAACGGTCAAAGAAAGATTACAAGTTTGAGATCCTCTGGATAGAGTCAGGGGCTGTGGGGAAAGTTGGAAAAGGGAAAAGGATTGCTTTGTTTCCTCTATGATCAGAAGTAATAAATCTTAGAGATCTAAAATGAAATTAAAATTTGTTGCTTGGAGTAAACTGAATAAATGACCCAGTAGAGAAGGTATGAATTATCTTCATCATTTGGCATAGAGTCCATTGCACAAAGAATGAAAATACAAAGAATATTATATTTAGGCTTTGGAGGTATTTTCTTTATTTAATTTAAATCAATTTTCAATACAGCTTTTATAAAAGGTTTCATAATGAAACATATTTTTAAGTTATTTTTATTTAGGTTCTAAAAATATAAAACCTTTAATCGCTTCAGTTCAAGATAAAGTAGATTTAAAAACACACTGCAGTCTGAACTGATTTTCCAGAATAATAAAAGGCCTCATGAAACTTTTTACCTCAAGAATTGTCATTTTAAATTCTTAGCAGGTCTGTCATTTAAATCAGGCACTATGCAATTTTCTATCTCTTATATATATATATACATATATATATATATATGTATATATATATATCCTCTCTCTTCTGCTTTGTGCTCTGCCCAGCTTCAGTTTTTATCTCATTCTCCAGTGCCCTCCTAAGCTGCCTCTTCTTACTAAAAATTGCCCAATTCATTTTAAAGATTAAAGATTTTTTTAAAAAGAAAGATTATCTAAAATTTGCAGAGAAGCTAACCAGAATATCATAAACAATGCCACTGAAGATATTTCCTGATGAATAAACACTGGTTATTTTTAGAGGCATTTGGACTGGTCTGTTAACAGACATATCACTAGTGGCAATATTCAGTGGCTTTAGGAACTGATTGGGATTTATAAGAGAAAATGAGGGTACGACAGCAGAGCTGGTAGAAAGAAAAAAAATGCTCACCTTTCTTTTTAATCTTTTCATTTCTTTCCTCATGCATGTCCCCATTTAGAGGTAAAATTAAGGTTGAGAGGGATAAAATGCAGATTTTGTCTCATTTGTCACAGTAGACCAGAGAGCACTGACACATTTCTATAGGTATTAAACCATTAAGATAAAGTGATTTATTCTTGTTTGATTCTTTAAAAACACCAAGTTTCAAACCTAGGCTTTCCTATTACTGTCTAATGGACTAAGGAAACTTTAATGACATTTTAAAAATCGCTGAGTTCCCCTAGATAGCATTCCATATATGGATTATATTTAATAACAAAAATATTCTACTCATGGCTCTTACATATTTTGCAATGCTGGTAGTATTTTAGGGAACCCATGAAGGGTGACATCAAGACACGGTGCGCTTTACCTAATCTAACTATCACTGTCAACATCACCAACCGAGTAGTTTTGCTACGTTAGAAGGTAATAAGATATACTATTATAAACATCATCACTTTGTTTATATGCTGTAATCAATTATGGCAGATTTATGGTTAAAAAAAAATTCTAGAATTGGTAAATAAGAACTAATAGAAAGGTTAATACAGTGCCGGTTAGTAGAAAATAGAAAAAGTATTTTGTCACTAAGACTGAATTTAAACCAAGCATATTCAAAGCATGTAGCTCAAGTGGGCAATAAAAGTACAAATTTGGGTTTGATAAACTATTTAAAATTATCTGCAGGTACTACGATCATTTGTTATGTAACATGTTATATTTCTAAGCATATACAAAACCAGTTATTTTCTAGAACTAAAATATATTTTTTAATGTTAGCACTGAAAACAAGCTATAAATTTACACTGGACAAGCTCTTATCTATGGAGAATATTGATGTAACAACAGAGAGTATTGATTGTTAATACTAAAACTTAACATTAGTGAAACCTTAAGATATGACTGAAAACATGTACTTATATTTTCATGATCAAAACATTTGATGTTTACATTGAATATTACCCTGAGTATATTTACTTATGAATACCAATTACCAGTTTGGTAAATTACAAAGTGAAATTTAAATTAGATTCAACAATTACTTGGAAATTTTTATTCCTTCTACATGTGACTCAACCCTATATTTGTAAGAATATATTAAAACAAAAAAAGATAACTCCCAAGCAGCTATCATAGTTCTAATAATCAAGTATTTTGAGGCAAGCTTTTCTGCCCTGATATGGTTTTTTCATAGAATATGTATACCAGAAGCTACTGTCTTCCTCCAAGAAGAGGAAGCTTTATGTCTGGTTGTCACGTCCTATGACATGGGTAACATGCACATGTATTACTTTGTTGCTTGATAATGAATCTGCCTTTAGTACATTTAAATAATAGTTCCATCACAAATTCATACAACACTTTTCTCTAAAGAGTTCAAAATGAGCTTACTGATACATCTAATCAATGCTCACAGCTTCTCTAGATGGTAGACAATGCTGAGCATGTAAATAAAGAAAGAGTTTCTATATTCCAGCTCTAGTCAGTTTAATTTTTAAAAATTACTACCATGCAACATTCCAAGTTGCTGTAGAGAACATAGCATTCTACATAGTTCTGGCTCAATAAATATGATGCTTATAAAACTTATAAACTCAGTTTATGAATTCTCTGTCAGTTAACCTGGGTTCAGATTAAAGTCAGTGTTTTCTAATAATCAACTAGAAGATGGATATTATATAGATAAAAACATGGTCTTGTCTGTTATCCTAATTTTGCCAACAACCACCACATGGAGTTTTGAATCTTGACAACTAATACTTCCACTGGGAAAACAGAATCAGGACCTAGAAATTAAAGCCAATTATTGATACCTGGTTTCAGAAAATTAATAGATGTTTTATGCTATCCAAAAAAAAAAAAAAAGAGAGAGAGAGAGAGATGGAAGAAAAGGATTAAAACAGGAAGTTTATATGAGCAGGATTTAAATTAATCAGTTCATAACAACTGTTAAGTACAACCTTTTGGAAATTAATTTGCATAATGATAATCTACATGTGGTAGGGGTGAAATTATTTAAATGACATTATATTTCACTATTTAGTCTTGCTCCACCACTGCTTTAGCAGTGAATCCTTATGAAATGTAATACAGCTAATGAGGTAGCTTTTTAACTGAACAAACTGACAGGCCCCATATCTGCAGAGGCAGCTTGAAACCGTGCCCAACCTCTTGGCTTCCCAAGAGGCTTTTCAAAATTCAATAAATAACATCTGTAGGCGATGTTGGGTGCAGACCTAGCAGAGTGCGTCATAACACTGTGCTGGCAGAACAAAGAAACCATGACGACTGCCAAGTTTCCATGGCAACTGCTGCGAGGCTCTGAGAGTATAATAGCACATCAATCACTGTCCAAAAGAACTTCATTATCAGCTAGAAAAAACCTTTAGGATCTGTTTAGTGTGCAATTGTGGGTTAACTCACCTCAAAGCCTTGCTCTCTAGCAAAAGTGGCAGCTTCCTGAAATAAAAAAAAAAGAACAGTTAATTATAAAGTGCTAGGTAATGAAGAAATAATCCATTTTGAAACTCATTCAAACAGTCTTCTTTTTATACAATTATCTCAATATACCCACATAGTTCAATTTTTATTCTTACACCAAAAAAGGTTTCTTTTTTTTCCCTTGCCATGAAAAAAAAAAAGGCAGCATAATGTCAACACACTTCACAAGTTAGAATAAAGAAGATGTAGTGCATGTTTTTACTGTAGCTGTCACAGTGAGTTCAGGTGTTTTGACCCCAGCAAAGAAAGACAATCATTTGAAACCTAAGGAACATACTGGTGGTTGTGTTTTTAATTGAAACAATACCTTTCAGAAAAGCTCTTCTGCAGAGAAGCATCACTGCTAATAAATGTATAGATTCAGAAAAATCACCATTTTGCAATCCCTAATGAAATTTATTCAGGCAAGGATCATCAATGGATGCTAAATTTATTAGATAAAAGAATGACAGGAAGCTGAGTATTTCATGGAATCAAAATATCACAGATTATATGCCGGTCACGGGGGGCAAAGTGTAACTTTATAATGGAAGGATCAAGCTGTCATCACCTTAAAACTCAGTGATTGATCTTATCAGTTTTCATCATTGATACTGGAATCACCAAATATTCTGTGCCTTCCATTATGATGCAGTATAAAGGACACAGCACCACCTATAAAGTTTTCTGACCGCATTTTTAACATTAATTAGTCAAAACTTTGATTCAATAACTGCAGTCTACAGAAGATACAGAGGATAGGAGAACAAGTTAAATGATACAATGAGAAAGTAAATGGACAAATCCATAAAGTAGGACATTCTACAGGACAAATAGCTTGGTCTCTTCAATAAATCAGTGTCATGATAACTTGGGGAGGGGAAAAATAACCAAGAGCAATGTATAGACCTTTACTGAATTTTGTTTTTAACAAACCATTCAAGAAAGGCATTTTTCAGACAATTAGAGAAATTTGATTATTTCTTTGAATTAACTGAATTAATTGAATTAATTGAACTATTAAAACAGGATTGAGATAACATTAGGAATTATTATTTGATAAGGTACATGTCCTTAATTTTAGAGGTTTCTTCTCAAGTATTTAGGGGTAAAATGGCGTGATATATATAATTTACTTTAGAATACTTAAAAAAATTAAAGTGAAGTAAAAATGGCAAAATGTTATCAACTACTAAATCTAGATGTAGTTTATCACTCAAATTTTCAATATATTGTCATACAATTTGTTAGCATTGTCTTTGTTATTTGATGCTCTTTTCAAATTTGTATTTTGTTGCCTTTTTTTCCTATCTAAGTTTTTCATGGAGCTAACTGCCACTTTTTTGGATTTTTCTATTTTCCATTTTTTCTTTCTCACTGAGGTTATTCAGAATTATATAGTCAGATGTGGGGGATGTTTTCCTGAAAAAAAAAATCTAGATGTATTTAGTATTTCTATTTTGTCTGTTTGAAAACTTTAATAGCACACAGTCTTCCTCCTCCCCAATTTCTCTTTTATATAGATGACAGGTAACAAAAGTTGAACATTAAAAAAAGAGTTAAAATTTTTATTTTATTTTTTAAAGATTTTATCTAGGGCGCCTGGGTGGCTCAGTTGGTTAAGTGACTGCCTTCGGCTCAGGTCATGATCCTGGAGTCCCGGGATCGAGTCCCACATCGGGCTCCCTGCTCGGCGGGGAGTCTGCTTCTCCCTCTGACCGTCTTGTGCTCTCTCTCTCTCATTCTCTCTCTCTCAAATAAATAAATAAAATCTTTAAAAAAAAAATAAAGATTTTATCTATTTATTTGAGAGAGAGAGTACGAGAGGGGGAAGGAACAGAGGGAGAGAGAGAGAATCTCAAGCAGACTACATGCTGAGCGTGGAGCCTGACACGGGGCTGGATCTCACGACCCTGAGATCATAACCTGAGTTGGAATCAAGAGTCGGACGCTTCACCAACTGAGCCACTCAGGTACTCCTAGTTAAAATTTTTAAATTCACAGTTTTTCTAGGTTCCTGAATATCTTAGGGGCACAATCTGATGAACATTACTATATCCACTAATGCTCCTAAAACAGGCTATCAAATGACAAAAACACATCTGTGTAACCAAGTCCTTTCCCTTTCTGTACTCTCTGCATATATTTTAATTTTAGGACTGATACAGAAAATAGAAGCAATATTACTTTTCATCTCAACTTCCCTCTTGAAAATGAAAAAAAAAAATACTGCAGACAACTGTCAAGAGCCTCTACATCTTAACTTACATTCCTCCAAAATTATCTTTGCCAAGAGATATTAATAGAAGGATGGGATTTGAGCCTGAGTAGTGAGCAGATCCAACTCAACTGAAACGACTGCCGCACCAAACCATGTAAGGCAGAAAGTAAGTCAGTGTCTCCAGCACAGATTTGGGTACTATCTACGTGTTAAGGAAAACACTGGGAAAAGAAGTATGTATGTACTTATGGTCCAATATACTAATGATATATAGAGTTAAAGACCCATTGTGAGGGCTTGAAAAGGTCGAAATGAATGATTACAGCTAAATGCTTAAGTTAATAGAAAGAGATAAGCTGAAAGTACAATTCCTTAGGCTGTTCACTAGAGAAGCACAAGGGTGATCAAGTTAGCCTTGGTGATGTAGATTAACGAAAAACTGAATTAATGATCTTAACGTCGGTACAAGCAAGGTTGGCCTCTCTGACTATTTACTTATAAGAGAACTTGATACACCATATAGTCAATAATATTTGCTGGCCTGGATATCAAGGAAAAGGATAAGTTTCAAAAGATATCAATATAATATTTTTCCAAGCTGTCCAATCCAAGAATTAACCAAGCTAATTCTTATATCAAGAAGATAACTGAAAAGCTCTGCTAGAACTGCTTATTTATATAGAGCTTCATCAGAGGCATGAAAGAAGTCCAGAGAACTAGAAGACAAAATTAATATGAAGAATCTGTATGACTAAGACTGCACTAAGACATAAAAAACTCAAAATTCAACATCCAGTGGTTAAAATGCTTTTTTAATGTCCAGTTTTGCCCACACAGATGTAAGAAGCAATTAACTGTGATCTCTTATGGTATAGTGGAACTGACTAATTGCAAGAAGACACATATATAAATGTCAGATCATTATTCTTTAAGGAAACCAGGCCTGAGGACACTTGCACATCTGTGAACTATTTGTAGCGCCAACGTATTTCTGATTGAGGAAGGACATGCTGAAGAAAAGTCGACTCAGTATTTTATCTTAGCGCCCCCTCACACAGGTTTGCAGAGCTGTGCCCTATCACTGAAAAGCTAAGCACTTGTTCTATAGCTTAAAAAGATCTTATCTCCTGACTTCCTCCTACCTTCTTTTGATCTTGAGCTGGTGCCCCCAGTCACTCCATTAGAGAAGGCAGCTGGCTCACATCACTGCAGACTTTCCCACAGCTAACCTCTGATCTGAAGGTGTTTGTAGATACAATGATGGAACAACATTTATTTTTCCCTCCCAGCAAAACAAATAATAAAACAACATAGGGCAACAGTTTGACCTAGTAAGCATTTTAACCAGAGTTTTAGTCCTCAGATTCACTGCATGGAGAGAGGGACAGAAAGAAAAGGCATTAGGTCTGAAAGTAGGGAAGGAAAAAGGGGTATGGATGTGGGCAGAAGAGTAAGGCAGGTTCCAAATATCAGGGTTAATTCGAGTGAACTGATCATACTAAATTGAAAAGGACTTTTTAGTGTCCTCTTTTTGCAGTAAAAGTGAGAAAAGAAAACAAGCATGTCCCCATCTGTGCTGCCCCAGGGCGCCATGTACTGAGTTCACAAATCTAATGAAGCAGTCAGGTTAAAATCCAACCGCAGAGTGGATGTGACGTGTAGAGAACAGCTAGGGTTAGAATAGAGAAGCAGGGCGGTTCCTAATGCAGGTGATTATCCATGTGATAATCATTATATTTACAGGCTTTCCATTTTGGATCTGACATCAAAAATCACAGAGGAGGAAGGATTAAGGAAATAAACAACTGACAGAGGTTATTCCTGCTCCCCTGAGAGTGTAGCACTTTCATTCATGCATGACAAGTAACAAAAGCAAAACCAAACAGGCCAGGAAAGAGTATTTCTGAGAAGGCTGGATTTCACATTAACACTTCTTTCCATTTTGATAACTTTGCTATTATTCAGTTCCCTGACAGGTCACATTTTCAGAATTAGTTCCCATTGTTGTCTATGCTCTAATACAGTATCATTTCTGGTTTACAATGAATGATACTCACATAATATGTCTTTTACAACAGCAAACTCATTTTTTCCTTCCTGGAATTGAATGTTGTGAATAAAATGACATATAATTAAAGTCTCAGACTCTCATCTACACCATGTTATTTAGGATTTGCAGTAGGCTTGCTGCTTCATCGACCAGGCTAAAAGGGGGCTAGTGAAACAACCACCAAGTATGGGTTTTGAGTTGTTTTTTTTTTTTTTAAAAAGGAGCTGAAATTCATGGTTAATGAAAACTATGGAATACTTGCATTACGAGCTATTTAAAGGGATTAGCAAGCCACTATTAGAAAGCACAGTCCTCAGATTATACAGAAAGGAAGGAGAAACTCAGGTGCATATTTGTGTGTATATTTCCTTTATATTCAATTGAGGAGAAAACTGTTTTCTCTGCAATTTGTCTGATAACACCTCAGTTTTCATTTATAAAGCAGAATGATCTGTAATCAATATTAAACTAAAAGCATAAGTTGTCCATATTCTTATTTCAATTCCAATTATTTGTTACTAGTTATATGGAAATACAAATGATTTCTGTATACTGACCTTGTACCCTCTTTCTGAAATTTACTTCTTAGTTGTAGGAACTATTATTTTGCTTCTGTAAAAAAGATAGTTTTCTATCTTTCTTTACATACCACATACCACAAAGTTATTTTGTGAAGTTAGCAAATGCCTTTTAAAACAAAATTTACCT